AGTGGTTTGGTGCATGAGGGTTGTGCAACAGAAGGAGTTAGACCATGCACAGAGACATAAGGGAGTGGCGGGCAGCTCCAACTACACAAGACAACCGCTGCCCGCTGCTTTCACGCTGACGCACCACCTGTTGTTGAGCAACGACACCGATTGCGCGTTCGAAACATGGCCAACCCCAGACCCCCGGCGAGCGCTCACTGTAAATGTAAATCTTGTAGGTCTCGGCCTTGGAGACCTTCTTCTTCTTGGCCTTGCCGTCCGCGGCCTTCTTGGCCGGACCCTTCTTTGCGGGACCCTTCTCGCCGACCTTGGGGGCCATGGCTGCTGGCTGGTGTGAGTTGAGAGGAGTTGGGTGTGTTCAAAGGCGTTTGTGGATCTCCTTCGGGCGAGACGGGGGCTTATGACCCACAAAATGTTGAGTGCAGCAGCTTCGTGCAGCTGCCCACCGAGCTCGGAGCCCTACAGAGGAAGGCAGCACGAAGCTGGGGCGTTTCTGAGCTGTGGTATGCCGCCTAAAAGGCCTCAAGCTTCCCCTCCAGCAGCATACACGCTCCCGCTGACATTCGATACCACCTTCGCACCCCTCAAAACCGGACTCCAACAACTGAACCATGTCGGGCCGCGGCAAGGGCAAGTCGGGCAAGAAGCCCGTGTCCCGCAGCTCCAAGGCCGGTGAGAGTCTTGACGAAAGGCCTGGGAGCTTGCTGTGCGGTCTGCCGCGGATGAGGTTTCTTCACTGCCAAGTTGCAGGCATTGTTGACTCTGGGAGTGACTAGGCTGGGCGTGCTGCAGTGCTGCAGTGCTGCACCATTAAAAGTCTGCATTGAATGTCGTGTCCCACATGCACGTCATGCAGGCGCTCACCCCCATCCATACTGCTCCCGCCTTGCATCCCAAAAGGGCTGCAGTTCCCCGTGGGCCGTATCGCCCGCTACTTGAAGAAGGGCCGGTACGCCACCCGCGTCGGTGCCGGCGCGCCCGTCTACCTGGCCGCCGTGCTTGAGTACCTCGCCGCTGAGGTGTTGGAGCTGTCGGGCAACGCCGCGCGCGACAACAAGAAAAACCGCATCGTGCCCCGCCACATCCAGCTGGCCATCCGCAATGACGAGGAGCTGTCCAAGCTGCTGGGCGGCGTGACCATCGCGTCCGGCGGCGTGCTGCCCAACATCCACGGCGTGCTGCTGCCCAAGACCAAGGGCAAGAAGGGCAAGGACGAGGCCGAGTAAACAGCTCTACACCTTGCTGCGACGCTGGCCCTCCTGCGCCGCGCATCACCCCAAAACGGTGGCTCTTGCCACCACCAATCCATGACCCTCAGACTAGACCAATGCATTGGTTGTTCTGAGCTGCTGCCCTAAGTCAAATGTGTTGCACGATGACCTTGCGTGAGATGCTCTGCCAACTGCATGATGACCATCTCTGTACACAACACACCCCAATGGTATGCACGCCTACTAATGCTGCCGCAAATGGCGGTCGCTTAGCCACATGCATCGCAGGCGGCCCAGCTGCCGCTCCTCAACGAGCGTACTGCCAGGCGCATGCATTGCGTGGTAACCAGATGTCAGCAATGCCACTGCCCTGCAACGACGCACATGTGGTGCACGCCGTCCGCTCGCAGGTTGGGGACGCCTTGCTTGAACAACTTGCTAGACAAGCTGTGCTGGCTGCAAAGCACTTTGACTGGGTTTGTGCTTGCGTCGATGCATGCGCTTTGACCCATGCCATGACGTTGTCAGCACGCCGGCTGGTCGCCGCACCCCATTGCGGAGGAAGGCTGACAGCCGTGTGCCGCTCAGGCGTACACACTCAAGAGTTGGCTCCCATACAAGAGTTTGCCTGGTGCTGGTGTGAGTCGTGAAACCCTGTGGCAACGCTGTCGTGCCCACTGCTTGCTGCTGTGCGCACATCACCATTGACATCCAGACCATTGGCTTGTGCGTAATTGGCCCTTGCGTATCGAGCGGTCTCGGAGTTGCCATTTGTCTGCCCTCAGACGTAGCCCGCTGGCCGCGATCATCAGATCACACGCACTTGAGAGCGGGCCAGCGAGTATGTCCACGGGGGAGGGAGGCAGTGGTCAACAAGCCAAAAAAAGCACAGCACCCACCGGCATTCAGATTGTCAAGTCCCTGATCGCCGGGGGCGTGGCCGGAGGGCTGTGAGTGTCCCAGCCCCGTCTCTGCATGACATGCAGGCCTAGTGTCGCACAAAGTTCACTTAGCGACCCAGCGCGCTCGCTACGACAGGGCAGCGTGCCACCACACCCGGCGGCGTTGAAACGCTGCACTGCTCGCACTGCTGCCGACGCCCGCTGCAGCACCCCACTGTTTGCACAATCACATGTCGTGTCTGCAGGTCTCGGACAGCCGTAGCCCCCCTGGAAAGGCTTAAAATTCTTATGCAAGTGCAGGGCAATGACAAGATCTACAAGGGCGTGTGGCAGGTGCGGGCTTGCTGGAAGGGAGGGGCGCAACAGTATGGCCGCAGGTCGGCGGCGGTGCACCAGCCGTGGTCGCCTCGTTAACCCATGATAGCCTCTGCTCTATACGTCGCGATGGGGTTCCATTGCGGCAATCCCCTCTTGGCAAGGCCCGTGCGGCGGCGGCAGCCACAGAGGCAGCGGCGGCGGCGGCGGCAGCGGCAGCGGCAGCAGCGGCGGCAGCAGAGGTGGCGGCGGCAGCAGCAGCTGCAGGAAAAGCGACAGCATTATCGGAACCACGCGCGCAGCGCGCCGCGAGGTTGCGTCCGGGCAGCGCGTCGGGAAAAGGCGCTGGGCCCACGCCACCTGCGCCCGCGCCCCCCTCCGCAGGGCTTGGTGCACATGGCGCGCACTGAGGGCATGCGGGGCATGATGAAGGGCAACTGGACCAATTGCGTGCGCATCATCCCCAACAGCGCGATGAAGTTCTTCACCTTCGAGCAGCTCTGCAGGTGCGCGGCGCGCGGCCCTTGCGCATTGTGCGCCGACCGCCGGCCGCTGCTTGAGGCGGCGCGGCTGCAGGCCGGCCCGGGGGCGGCACGCGTGAGGCGGCCCAGCCGCTGCGTGCACGGCCCTGCCATGACCGATCCTGCTCGGTTGCGGTCGGGCTCTCGTGTCTTTTCACAGGCCATGCCGCATGCCTCAAACCAGCATCAACCCACAGCACGAAATACAACCCGCCGCCGTCGTCCTGCTCAGCCCCCACTCTCCGGCCCCCGGCCCCGCACACACACACACAGGCTCATATCCGACCGGCAGCTGGAGGCCACCGGCAGCGGCGCCCTCACGCCGGGGCTGCGGCTGATGGCGGGCGCGGGCGCGGGCATTGTGGCGATGAGCGCCACGTACCCCCTGGACATGGTGCGGGGGCGGCTGACCGTGCAGGAGGGGCGCAACGTGCAGTACACTGGGATCGTCCACGCGGCGCGCACCATCCTCAAAGAGGTGGGCACGGGGCAAGGGGGTTTTTAGGAGGCGGGGAGCCGAGGCGGCCGGGCGCAGGGCGGGGGCCGGGAGGGGGGCTGAGGCGGCAGGGTGCGACGCGGCGCGCAGCGGCAGCCGTTAAGAGGGCGCCGACGCGGCGCGCAACCCGGTGCGCGCGGTTCGCGCCGCACGGGCCCTGCCGCGCCACGCCCGCGTGCGTCGACGCCGCGCCGCCCGCGCCGACGCCTGCTGCCAATCGTGTGGTTGCAGGAGGGCGCGCTGGCGTTCTACCGCGGGTGGCTGCCGAGCGTGATCGGCGTGATCCCCTACGTGGGCCTCAACTTTGGGGTTTATGAGACCCTCAAGGCCTCGCTGCTAACGCACTACGGCCTGAGGGACGAGCGGGAGCTGTCGGTGAGAGGTTTTTTTCAGTCGGGAGGGGGCTGTGGGGTTCTGGGTCGAGGGCGGGGCCCCAGGGACGCGCGGGGTTGGCCGTAGCGGCTTGCGAGGCTGAGACGCTGGGGGTGCGGCTCATGGGGAGAGCAATGGATGGGCGTCTCTTGAGCCACGCGAGCACGAGCTTTCCTGGGCTCCTGGGGTGCGGCCGATTGACAGCCGGCGATGGGTCGGAAGGGGCCGAGTCGGGGCCGCGCTGCTGCTGGCGGGCACGGGGTTGGACAGCGCGCGATGGGAGCTGCCGGGAGGCCCAGCGAATGGGCGCAGACGGCCAGCTCCGCGGCAAGCAGTGCGCGCGCCTGCCAGGAGACGCGGGGGCTGGCGGCGGTGGTGCCGTATGCCGCAGACCCAAGGGGAGCACCAGCGGGGCGCGGCAGTGGCCAGCGGCCATTACACACTAGCCACCCGCGGTGCCGTGACCCGTCTCCCTGTGATTCATCGCGCCGCCAACGTCTGGCGCCGGCCCTCCTGCCCAACCCCCTCCCCGCGGCACGGAACGCGCAGGTGGCGGCGCGGCTGGGGTGCGGTGCGCTGGCGGGCACGACGGGGCAGACGGTGGCGTACCCCTTTGATGTCGCGCGGCGGCGGCTACAGGTGCGGCGCCCCTCCGCCCCCTGCTCCTCCCCCTGCTCCGGCCCCTGCTCCGCCTCCCCCAGCCATTGGGCGCCTCCCTAGTGGGCTGGGGTCAGCAGCCGTCCCGGTGCTGCGTGCCGGGGCTGCAAATTGGAAAAGAGCTGCACATGGCCCGCAAGCCGCGCTCCGAAACCCTTGCCAGCACACCTGAGAAGCAGCGATCGCGCGGCCCGCCCTCCCCGGCGGACGAGCGCGCTTGCCCTCCGCGCTCTGTTTCGGCACCCAGGAGTGCCAAAAACGCGCACGTGCGCGCGCACACACACACACACACACACACACACACACACACACACACACACACACACACACACATCGCCTTGCAGGTGTCTGGGTGGCAGGGCGCGCGGGAGCTGCACAGCGACCACGGCAGCGTGGTGGCATACCGCGGCATGACGGACTGCTTCGTGCGCACAGTCCGCGAGGAGGGCATGCAGGCGCTGTTCAAGGTGGGGGGTGGGGCTGAGTGCAGGGCTGGGTGAAGCTGGGGTACCAGCTGGGCGGGTTGGTGTCTTGCAACGCTGATGTGTGTGCGTGTGTGTGTGTGTGTGTGTGTGTGTGTGTGTGTGTGTGTGTGTGTGTGTGTGTTTTTGTGTGTGCGCGTGCGTGTGCTAGGTTGTGGGGAGCGCAGCGGGCCTCTGTTTACAGGTGGAAGGGGCGGTGCAGGGCGGCCGTCATCAGTGCTGGTTGGCAATGCATGGGCGTCAGCATGGGGGCGGCCCATGCTTGGCGGCCCAAGGCCGGCACCCCAGGGGACTCTCCTGCCCCATTCAGCCCGCGTGCGAGCGCGCACGCGCGCACGCAACACTGCCCCTGTCCTCTTCCTCGTCCGCTCGTAACCCATACCCAGACCTCACAACCCCTGCACCCGCTTCCCAGCAGCAGGATCGCTCTCTCCCCCTCACTCATACACACACAACACACACACGACACACACACACACACATGCTCACACCTCACCCCCATCCCCCTTACCCCCCAAACGCTAGGGTTTGTGGCCCAACTACCTCAAAGTCGTCCCCTCCATCGCCATAGCCTTCGTCACCTATGAACAGGTCAAGGAGTTCCTGGGGGTAGAGATTCGCATCAGCGAGTAGCGCGCGCGCGCACGCGCGCGCCCTGCACCACCACGGCCCCCACCCGCACCCCAGGCGCGCCGCGGCGCTCTCGGCCCTGCGGCGCGCTCGCCGCCGCGCGCCCTCCGCCGTCCTCGGCCGCGCCCGGCCGCGCGCGGGCCGCGGGGTGCATGGGGTGCGACGCGGCGGCTCGCGGCTGCCGGGCGGGCCGGCGTGGGTCCCGCGCAAGGCGCGCATTTGGATGGCGCTTTTGATAGCGGCGTTGATGTGTGTTCGGCGCCGGCGCACCTGGCGGCCCGGCGCCTGGGCGGTGGGCGTTCCCCATCAGATCCTTTCCCTTTGCAGCAGCTTGCTCCCTCCAGCTATTTGGGTTGAGGCGCCCTCGGGCCTGCATGCTGTTTGACTTATTTCAAGTCTAGTGCGCTGAGTTTTTACCTTTGCCTATTCTTGAGCGCAGGAATGCCTCGCGGCTTTCGTCGTCGTCTGTTTCCCTCTCTCCCCCCTCCCATCATGGTTGCCGCGTCCCCGCTCGAGCCCACAGCGCCGGCAGGCCCGTCTTACTGCGCCCGCGCCGCGGTCTGCGAGGTGGGGAGCGCCGCTCGGGCCTCCGGCGGCGGCTTGAACGGCGTTTTTGAATTGTGCCTGTTTCGGTTTCATCGATCCACAGAAGAGGCCCTGTGTGCTGCCATACCCCGGGGCGTCCACTGCCTGTGCGCCCCAGTTTTCCCCTAGCCCGCCCGCCGTCCGCGCCGGGCGCGCGCCAGCGGTCCCGCACCCTTGCGCGCCGTCGCTGCCATCAACCCTTTCCACGGTGCGCGTTGGTGGCACACGAGCGAGCAACCAGAAGTTGCGTGTAAATGCGTCAGAAGCAGGGTCCCCTGAGGTGTTGCTGCTGACGCAGTCGCCAGCGACTCCTGAGGCACTCAGACTGCGTGTGGGCCAAGGGGCCGCGCCTCGCCCGCACGCAGCGTGCCCCCGGCACCGTCGGCAGCTGGGACTGACCAAGCGATGGGGTGCTCGGGCTCAGCTCAGCGTGCTCGAAGGGGAGCGGCGGCGCGGCAGCAGTCCAGCAGGATCGACTGCTTGAAGGGTGGGGCGAGGGCGGGCAGGTCCCAGCCCAGTGGTCGCTGGCAGGCGGAGCGAGTTCAGGGCAGCTTTGCTGCCCATCCAGAACAGTCCTTCCTTGCGCGCGCGCGGGGATGGAGGATTCACTGGAAGAAGAGGTACAGCTGGATGCCTCGAGGCACCGGCGACAGTGCGCCAGTCGGACCGGCACCAGCGTTGCGATCACCCCCTCCACCTTCTCAAGAGTGTGCCCCGCATGCAGCGGCAGCTCCTGTCGCTGCTGCTCGGGTACTCAGACGCCATAGAATTCGATAGTGTGCAACTGCTGCCAACCCCATTCAACTCACTGTGACCCGCCAAAACGTGCGACCCCATCTCAAAGCATCCTAAATGCGCACGCTCGCAACCCCCCTTGCGGCGCCAGCCCCGTGATCGCCGCTGCCCCGTCAGCCGTCTCACCCACAGCATAGTCTGGGTCGCAACCGCAGACCACGCAAGCTGCTTGATTTGCAAATTACAAAAATGTCTTGATCCTTGTTAAGCACACAGATGCCTCTACCCACACAGCCGATTGGAGTAATGATAAGAATGGCATGCGCCGATAACAAAGGCAGCGCCCAGAGGCGAAGGAGGCAGTAGGGGCAGTAGGGGCGTCCGTTGCCGTCCGTTATCGCTGGAACTGTGTAGGGTATGTGCGGGGTGTTTGCAGCAGTGGCGCAGCAACGCATGGATGTGAATGTCCGCCCGGTTGGACGACAACAGGGCACTGTTCGGCCGCTCGGTCGCGCTCACAATTAATATAAAGGGCGCTGGTGCGATCACGCAAGCACCAGCAGCGCCACGAACGCCGAGGCCGCCGCGAGCGCCGAGGCCGCGCCGAGGCCGGCGGCGCCGCTGCTGGGGGCGGGCGCCGCCGTCGAGGGGGGCCGGAGGGTGTTGTTGAGGGCCGCGGAGGCGTTGCCCAGGCCCGAGGTCACGTTGCTGACAAAGCTCGAGATGCCCTGGGAGAGGGGCCGCAATTTTGGAGCTAAAGGTCAAGAGAGCAAGGGATCAACGGGCCTGCTTGGCGCCCCCGCAGCGGCGCGTCGGGGGCGGCCCCCCGCACGCGGTGGTGCCCCCCCCCCCTGTATTGTGGCCTGCTGCACACACCCCGGGCAGCCTGGCCGAGGCAAGAAGCACCCGCCGACGTTACAAAGCAAGCGGAAGGGGGTTCAAGATGGGTTGGTTGGGGGCGTAACAGGAGCTTTGCTCACCGACAGGGCGGAGTTCAGGCCGGCGCCAATGGAGCTGGCGTTGATGGCCGACACGTTGGGGACGGCCGCCGCGGTGCGGTTGAGCAGCGGGGCGAAGAGGCTGTCCGTGCGGTTGGCCGTGACGTCCAGGGCCGACATGGTGGCGTTGGCGAGCTCGGACATGGTCTGCGGGGGGCGTCGTTGCGCATGGATGCATGGAAGTGTGAGGGCGCGTGGTGGCCGCCGCGGGGGGCAGCCAGGCGGGAACGTGCCCGGCCTGCGAGGCGCCCGCAACGAGCGCCTCCTTAGGATTGAGGCGCCAAGGCAAACGCTGATGAGGCGTTACAAGCGGATACATGCGCAGCGCTTGCTGCCTGCCTGCTGCGCCACACCTGCGTTATGGCCGCGCCGAAGGCCGCCAGCGGGTCTGCAGGCGCAGGCGAAGCTGCCGCTTGCAGGGTGGAACGCCGAGCCTGGCAGCTCGGCGCGGTAGCCAGAAGCAAGGCTGCCAGAACGGCTAGCAGGAGGGACTTGCAGGCCATTGAAGCTGCGGAGGAGGCTGGCTCGGAAGGTGGTTGATCTGCAGACAGTGCCCTGCGAAGGCGAATAGTGGTGTCTACAGTGTGCAAGACCTGGTGAAGACCTTGCAACTCAGGGAGTGCGCGTGACAGTATGTTGAAGCGATCGAGAGGTTCTGGTGCATTCCGCACCTCCGGCTCCAGCTGGCACCGTGGTGAGCACGAGAAAGCGCGGGTGAGCAAGACCCTTGACGCGTGGTCTTGATACTGCGACACGCTTTAAATCAAGTGCGCCGCATATGGAAGCCTGCCATGTTGGTGCAGGTCGGTCCCGCCTTCTTTTCAAAATCGCCTGCTGTGCCTAGGGGCCCAGCGCTGGTGCCAGGACATCGATCAAGCGCCACTTCCCCTCTGACAATCGACTCTGTGCCAAGCCATGATATTTACTGCTCGCACAGCCGTTTCCTCAACGTCGCCGGGACTCCCTCTGCACAGGCACGGGCAGATAAATTGTGAACACTTGACGAACGTTGACACCCTGCTGTGGCCCGGGCTCAAATCCCTCCGCCACTCTGGTCGCTTCCCCTCGCCATCATTGTCAGGTGAATGAAGTTCGAATCCCGGTGGGATGAATATGGGCAGGGGTACGATATACATTTGCACATTCTACTGCTTGCCCCACGCTTGGGACTGATCCGAGTGAGATGGTGATGGCAAATTGCTACTCTTAGGTTGTTGAGGCGTAATTCAATTCGTCATTTGTGCAGGTCTTTGTGACAAGCGATGCTCGCTATGTACCTCGTGCGTGTGCAGTACTTTTTAACCCCATGGTGGCGTAGGCTACTCTCACCCGCATGTCCCTTGAGATGGCCATCTCACCAAGCATATCAAATAGAATTTGTTTCGCTGTCTGGCTTGAGTTGGTGTAGTGCCGCTGGATTGTAATTAATAGTGGGCCGCCTGCCAGTGCCCGTTTAACACACACTACCGCATCGGACATCTGCATCCACTGGTTACCCAGTCCGTGAACACGGTAGCATTGTAAAAAACCGAGCGCAGCCCACAGGTTTCCCACTCAATGGGACAACAAATTGTGTGAGACTTTGCGTGCCCGTCGCCCGCACATGTGCTTGAAGACAAGTTGTGACAACCAAGATAGGGCTTGCATTTGCATGTGAAGTACAGTTGCGAAGTGCGCAGCAATCACAGCTTGGCTCAACAATAGAATTCAAGCCCCATTGTGACCCAAAATCATCGAGTGAGGTCTGGGTCACTTGACTTCCAGCGCAGCATGTTGGTAAATTCAGACCCCACAACAGGGCCTGGTCAGTTCGTAACGGCCCCGACACAAGGGGCCCAGGGGGGTACGCTCAGAGCAGGAGCAGCATGGCAGCGCCGGCCGCGCCCGCCAGGACGCCAGAGGCAGCGAAGGTCGAGGCGGAGCTCTTGGGCGCACTGGCCTTCGCCTCAGAGGCGTTGCCGGTGGCGGGCAGCAGCGAGCTGGCATTGGCGGCGGCGCCCTTGGCGGCGGCGGTCGCGTTGGCGACTGCGGCCTTCACGGTGGTGGTGGCCTTCTCGGCGGCATCCTTGACGGCGGCGGTGCCGTTGGCGGCGGCGGCGGCGATGGGGGCGGTGGCCTTCTCAGCGGCAGCCTTGACAGTCTCAGTCGCGTTCTTGGCCGCGGCCTTGGCAGGCGCAGTGGCGTTCTGGGCGGTGGTGCCTGCAGAAATGTTGATTGAATTTTTGCGTTATGAGCGCGGGGTCGGCAGTGGTGATGGCACTCCGGTGACATGTTGGCATGAGGGGTGCATGCCGGTGGCAGCCATGGCGTCAGGGGGCCACCCCATAGCCGCACCATGGCCAGCTGGCGGCACCCCTCATATGCACATGGTTGCTGCTGCCCCCGAAAAGCGTGTGCATGAAACGCCGCTCATTAATACCAATAAGCATCACCGGCGCTGATCCGTGTGCTGAGGCCTGCCGGGGAGATGGGGCCCAAAGCATCCCGGCGACGATCTCGCGGTGAGAGCTCACCCATGGCCATCAGGGCCACAAGGGCCAGCACGATAACGACAGAGGTGCGCATCTTTCCTTGGTGTCAGGAGGGGAGGGTGCTTGGCGCTTGACAGTTAGCCTTTTGGAAGGCTGGTACTGGTCAAGGTAGAAAGTGGAAGATGAGTGTTTTGAGTATGACAATGGTTGTGGAAGTCTCCTACAAGGAGCCCAGGAGCGGTGGAAATTCAAGCGTCCAGACTCATCGTCTGCCACGCATTCCTCGCGCTTCAAAAACGCAGTGAGTGTATAAAAATGGCATATTGGGGGGGGTGAGGACCCTGTTCGGGCGCGCTTGGGTTGGTGCGCAACCCGCCTCTTGGGCCAGATTCGAACCAGGCCACACCAGTCAAGGGTGCGAGATTGCATCGCACGAGCTGGCCGCTACAGAGCCCCTCCATTCATATGCAGCGGCCCGATTCATCAAAGTAACCGCCAAGACATGTGGTTACGCGGTCGCCTGAGCAATCCTGCTTTTGATCATTGATCGCAGCTGTGCCAATTTGAATCTGCTGAGCTGGCCTTTGGGCACAGCCATCTGGTGGGGGCGCTGGCCTCCGCGCCGTCTGGCCTGCCGCCCATCTCAAACGACAATCCATCGCTGAATATGCTATGAATACAAGTGCTGGTAATGCAGCCTGAGGTGCATGTGGTTGTGTTGTGTAGGCAGGAAAAATGTATCCAAACGAGTGGCCCACCGGGCGATGCACTCACGGCTGTCATAGCAGGGCATGCTCTACAGCAGGGCAACGGCTTGATCTGTTTCTGCCGCGTGCTGTACACCATATGTTGTTGCAACCGCCAGAGGGCTTGCACGCGAGTGGCCCCGCGTGGCTGCTTGCTTCAGCACGGCGTGCCGGAGTGCAAGCTGCTGTATGTGCTGCGTTGACCGACTTTGGCAGGGGCCCCTCTTGCCAGGGCCCTGCACGCTGGCGTCCTCCTCAGCTAACAGCTGGGGGCGCGGCGGCTGCACAGGGAGACGGGTGGCCAGCGCTGCCGGGCCCCCAAGCGCCAGCACCTGCCGGCGGCTTCAGCCCACCCGCCGAGGGCCTGCCCACACCGGCAACTGCAGCGCTCCAGGCACCATGCCGTGACCGCTGCCGGCCACAGCCATCCCTTGTCTGCGTTTCTGGGCAGTTCACCACCAAGCAGTGCCAGCAACGGCAGTTACCTGGCTGTAATCGTGGCAAGCGGCAGCCCCCTGGCGGGCTGGCACCAGCCATTGGCGGCACATGCGATATTGATCAGAACAGCCGCTGCTCCGGGGGCAGGCCAGCCGGCGGCAGCACCATGAAGCCAGACACCAGCTGCAGCTGGGGCTTAGGTGCCTGCTGTGGGTAAGGTTTAAAAAGCCCTACCAGCGGACCCCCCTCTGTAACCGGCGCAACGGCGGGTTGTGAGGCCGGTTAGGGGCCGCGGCCGGAACCCGCGGGGTTATCAACTGTTTGTGTCGCGCATGCTTGGGGCGCAGGATTCAATTTCTATCAAACTCTTGAGTTCCCCGTGCTGGCACGCGCTGTGGGCTGGTGCATAGGTGACTACGCGTGTCACTGCTGCAGCGCCGGCGGGTTATGAGGGCGGTTAGGCTAAACGTCCGGAACCTGTGGAGTTATCAACCATTTGTGTCGCGTATGCTTGGAGCGCAATTTTTAACTGCTCATTAACTCCTGAGTTCCCTGCGCTGGCACGCGTTGTGGGCCAGTGCCCAGGTGATCACATGCGGTGTTGCTGCAGCACCAGCAACGCCACAGAAAGTCCCCAGAGTGTATGGCTTACCCTGAACTAAGGCTTATCACTCTGATCAAACACACGATCAACTTGTACTTGAGCTTATAGTGACCTGTGGCAGATCACCACTCACCACTCACTGCACACTTTCGCTTCGCCTGGCCTACTGCGCTCCCATTCCTCAGCCAACCGGAAGTGCTGCAGGAGCCATACGGTACATCCCAGTACCGTAAACACATACACGGGCCATTCGCTTCAAACACTTCACTATTCCGTCGTCACACACAAAACGCGGCAGGGCTGAATCGCACGCTACCGGCTACACCGCTATGATAGATTGATAAGATGGGCCTGAAAATTTGGGCTCGCGGGTCCACAGGGTTGCAAGCTGGTGAGCCGCCTCCTGATCCCAACCACCACGAAGTGCTGAACGGCGCGATGGCCTCCTCCGCGCCTACCCGTAAGAAGAGTTGTTAGGTCACGCACAACTGCCTAGGTGATCGCCCCACACACCGCTTTGCAGGTCCCACTGTCAGGGAGCTGGTCCAGGCACAGGCGCGTTTGAAAGCTGACGCATCAGGTGCGCGCTGCTGGATCCCGAGACTAGTGGGGGTTTGGTTGTAATATGCAGGCCTCATTGTGCATGCCCCCTTGAGCCGCTTGCGAACTTGCAGAACGTCCACGCGCGCTCGGGCGGGCGGCGGGCGGCAACGGAGTGAGCAAAGTGCTGAACGGCGCGATGGCCTCCTCCACGGCTACCCGTGAGAAAGCTGGTGAGTCACGCACAATTTCCTAGGTGATCGCCTCACACACCGCCTTGCAGGTCCCGGCGGGTACGCCCCTACTGCAAGAGAGCTGGTCGAGGCGCAGGCGCGTTGGAAAGCTGGCGCATCAGGTGCCCCCTTGAGCCGCTTGCTTACTTGCACAACGTCCAAGCGCGCTCGAGCGGGCGGCAGGCGGCAACGGAGTGGGCGCCGTTCTGGTTGCATTACTTGAATCCAATTAGCACAGTTCAATTCTGTGCAATGGCTTAAGGACTAACATCGACAACCCTATAGGTTTCGTGCCCTGTAGAACCACCCTTAACCACCCTTAACACGCCTTAACTGCAGCTGTAACCCCAGAGTGAGCCAGGGTTAATTTTGGGGCGGTACATGGCAAAACCCTAGTTTCGGGGGGGGGTTTCGAGGGGGGGTCTGCTGGTAGGGAAGTGTGCTTCGAATAATCGGTTTGATATTTCAGCAGCAGCTAAACTGGTTCGGGCGTGACACGCTCTGCATTGCTGCTCCACTCCACCCACAAGGCCCACCATCTTATGTTGGTGTCACTTATGGGTCAGCAGCACGAATGAGTGCGCAGCACAGGCCCCCTGCTGTGCTAACCGACAGGGAGGCATCTGCCATTCTGATGTGGTGCATGGCTGCTGAGGGCGTACACCAACACGCGTTATGTCACGCGTGCGGAGGCATGGCTCCCACGTGTGCGGACGGGCTGCGGCTACCGCGGCTATGGCCCCCTACCTGCCTCTGCCAGCATCAGTGGGCATGGCCGCGTTGCCCCGGAGGCTGCTGCCCCCGCCGCCGTTGCTGCTACTGCTGCTGCTGACTCTGCTGTCGTGCACACTGGGCGCCTATGTGCAATGGGCTCCGAGCGGGCTGGCAGCCCAGACAGATGCATGCGCGCATACAACTCAACACTTCTCCCGCTGATCCGCTGGCCTGCTGCTGCAGAGCGATTGCCGCCGCTACGGTCTGCCAGCAGACCACTGCTGGTAACGTTGCGGTGGCGCAGCACCAACGTCTGTCGCGCTCGCTGCGTGCTGCTGGTGAGCCGCATGGAAGCCCACCTGCTTATCAAGCCGAGCGCCTTCAGCCATACCGCTTTTGGCCACGCAGTTGCAAGGCAAGGGCAGCATTCTCGCAGCGGAGCTTACTTCAGCACTTCTGACCTTTGACCTGCTACCATGACCAGAGAGTCGGCTGCCCCGCATGTGCTGTCTGGCCGCTGCAACTGCGCCTACACCTGCGATGCCTACCCACGCACGACGGGTGCACACGCGCGCGGCGGTAGCGCGCAGCAAGGCGCCGTGGGTGTAACCGGCGGCGCCGCCCTCACTAGGGCAGTAAGATCTCAGGTAGCGCACGCCTTTCAGGTATTGGAAGCCAAATAGGCTGGTATCTCCACGAATCCTGTTGTAGAACAGCTGGAACGTGTTCCAGCCGAGGGCTGTTGCCATGCCCTAGCACAGGGGGCACAAACCTTCACCAGCCCGGTGTGGCTTAACCAGTAACAGCTAGCTGTGCAGGGCATGGAACTGCTCTGCAGCGAGGTTCCTCCGCCATGCCACCTCAGGATCCAATTTTAATGTGGCTCATTTTGGCTGGCTGGATAAAGTTGGGCAGCGCGGCGGTTGGCCACTGTCAATGGCGCTTCCCCGTGCACAAGTCTCCATGTGGTATCAGGGGGCGCATTTTCCATACTTTCTCGCACAAACGCCTTGAGGCTCTTGCGGTGCTGTGAGTCCACTTGGTCATTGACATCTTCAGCATGAGTGAGGTGCTAGGTGCATAAATAGATGCAAAAACATTCTAATTTCATTTGTTCAAGCTGATTTGCAAACAGTGCTCTGTGCGTGCTGCGGCACTCACAGAAGCGGCTCAGCGGCTGCAGTTATAAGCCCGTGGGCAAAACTGAAGCCAATGCTAAGGGAGGCTAAGCGAACAAGCCACATAGTAAACATGGTAAGTATGATGCGGCAAACGCAGGGGTGCATGCGCTGGGACGGGCGCACTCCCGCTCGCACATGTAGTCCCGCTCGCAAATGTCGTTGCTAACGTACCGTATCGTGGGGCTCCGGACTGAACTCCGCCTAGACGCGGTGAACCGCGTGTCTTGGTTTGCCAAAAGGCAAGAAGTGATTTGAAATGTTGTACGCAGGCATGTGGCACTTATGGCCCTGTTCAGGCCTCCTCCGTGATTACGCCACCCCCACGCGCACCCAAACACGGGTGTTTTGCGCACGTTCAGGGGCTGTACACAGGGTTGAGAAGCGGGGTTTTGCGGGTTGCGGAGCCGATGAATGGAGAGTGCCTTGGGCCCCACACCGGGTGCGGGGTTGTGTTGAGAAGGGTTGGGGCCCTGAGCGCTGATCCCTTGCCGGAAGACTGTTCATTCAATACGGGCGTGAACCCCTCGTGCTGCCGGCCGCGGTGTCATGTGGGTCAAAGGCCGTCGCCTTGATTCTCACTGGAACAAGGGCCCCCTCAGCTGCAGGCTTGACACAGCCTCCTGCCGGCGCTTGTTCTATGGCAGCATACCGGGATTCAAGCCTGTCCCCCTGCGGGAGGGCTGCTTGACACTCCGTTCACATGCAGTTCAGATCAATTGGCGCACTGACATCTCCTACTGCACAAAAGAACTCGTGTCTTCCCCGGGGGCGCGCGCGCACCAGGCCTCGGGGTCCTATCCCTTGCACGTGGCAAGCGAAGAGTACTCTTGGCGGCCATGCCCTGGCCCCTACCAATCATGCACAAATGCAATGCATTGCTTTCCCTCGACCAATTCCTCCGTGCTGTTTTGCACTGTAAGCTGCCATCAGGCAGGGCCAGTGCACCTGCAGTCACCCCTGACGCGGATGAGTGCGAAGCGGTACGCCTGCGCGTGCATCTGCAAGGCAAACCATACAGCGCACAGACAATCGGTGCTTTGCAAGTGAATGTAATTCAGCAGCTTCTCCTATCATAAGCACAGCCCGGACCCATACCCATGCAGTGCAGCTGAGTATGATCACTTCGCTGATTTGCGCCAAGATCACTTCGAATCCGGAGTGGAGACAATGAGGACACGCAAGGCAGCTGCTCATACACTTCAGAGGTTTCTAGAGTAATACATTGTTCAGCGGGTCAGTAAGAGTGTTTGAAGTCGTGCTGTTCGCGAAGAGCGCAGCACGCTCGGCCGAGCAGCACGACTCGGAGGGCACGAGGCTTCGAAGTCTCACAAATGTGTCGACCAAGATTCTGATAGTCTTGGCTGGTCCACGGCGGTTCTTCTGGCTCTTTGGCCCAGAATCACAGTACACCAGGCCCTCATGTGGCATCAGGAGGAGGCCTACACAGCCGCATAGGATACATAGCATATTTCTGTATCGCTAGCCTTGCAGGCGTGGCACCTCTGCTTTCACAAGCAGCGCCCCCCGCCTGGGGGTGCAATACACACCAGAACACCTTTGTGCCTGGGCGGCAGGCGCTCACCAGCCTGAAAGCCGGCGCCAGGCGCCTAATCTGAGGCGATGACCTTCTTCGTGGACCTCACACTCAGCGACGACGATGCACCCGCTTCCCTTGCCGGTGAGCTGCCGCAGCGCGAATGGGTGCCCTTGCGCTGCGGCTCACAGGCAAGTGCTGCCGCCCTCCAGGGCGCTCCAACTCCCCGCGCTCCCCCCTCCCCATGCACGCCCTTTCGCGGCACCCGCAGCGCCTGCATCCGGCCGCGCCCCCACGCCAGACAGCGACGTGGTGGTGCTGGACGAGCCCGAGGAGGCGGGCCCGCCGCGGCAAGGGGGCGGCGCGGCCCCTGCGCCCGGCGCGGGGCCGGCCGCGCCCGCGGGCGTGGGAGCGGCGTGGCAGCGGGCGCAGGCGGCGCTGGGGGAGGAAGAGGAGCTGGCGATCGTGGGCGTAGCCGGCGTGGTGAGCAGTCCTGGCCCTGCCCGGTCCACAGTTGGTGTGCGGTGTGCTTGACGTGCCACCCCACCCGTGGATGGCGCAGCACAGGCGGGGGCGGCGGCGGCATGCTGGTGCTGGCGCCGCATGCGGCTGCTGCATGGCGTCGCGTGGCCCCCATGAATGCGCCTTCATGCAGGCATGCTCTTGCTCGTGAAGGTCGCAGCCGCTGCATGCCATGCACGCAACCCATGCATGCAACCCATGCATGCAACTCATGCACGCACATCAAAGCCGACATGCGCGGCTGCTGCCAGGCCAATTGCTGGCAGTGGCGCCCGCTCCCAGCCGCTCCATCAACCCGTGAATGCGCTCCCCACGCCAGGATGTGCGCTGCGACCTCCCGCACACGCGCGACCAGTGCGGGCACCACCCCTTTGTGAACGCGGGCGCCTCCAGCAACACGCGGCACTGTGGGCAGGTGGGCGGGCGGGGCCGTGCGGCTGGGGCTGGCCCATCCGGGCCCTGCAGCCTGCCCGCCTGCAGTGCTGGGCAGCGGCCGCGCCGTGGTGCTTGCGCAAGCAAAGGGCGTTGCGCAATGCGTACTCCCGTCGGCGGGCGCCGTACGGGGCCGCCGTTCGGCCCAAGCAATGGGCGGCGTGCTGGTCTGGTGTTCATGAATGCTGCCCGCATCGCACCTCGGCTGGCCGGCCTCTGAGGCAGCAACCCTTCCCCGCCACCCTCAACACCTCGGCTGCAGTGCTACTGCTTCGTGTGCGACACCAAGGCGGTGCTGTGCGGCTTCTGGGGCACCGGTGAGGCGCCGACCAGACCGCCCGCTGTGACGGGAGTCCTCAGCAGGGCGCGGCGCGCCCGACTGCCGCTGCTTGTGCTGCCGGGCCTGCTGAGCGCCTGGATGCGTTGTATGCTTTCGCTCAACCCTGCCTGGCGGCTCCCATACCCTCTTGCAAAACGCCCCATTTATCCGCGCGCGCCAGGCGCCCGCGAGGCGGACCACTGCAACGCCCACCACACGGGGCCCTGGGACCTCCTGCGCGCCGCGCGCAAGCGCGGCGACGCCACGCGCCTCAGCTCCTGCTTTCTGGCGGGCCGCCTGCCGGCCGCGGAGGCGGTGGCGGACGTCATCGGCGGTGGGGCAGGCGGCGGCGCGGCGGGCGGCGGCGTGGCGAGCGGCGGAGGCCTGGGTGGCCTGCCGGCCTCCATCCAGGCGATCCGCCAGGGCTCTGGGCCGCCCCCGCAGCCGCCGCCCCCGCCGCGGCCGCAGCAGCCGCAGCCTGTGCGGCCGCTAGCGCCGCAGCTAGCCGCCGCGTGGCCGTTTGGCCCGAGCAGGTACGCGCTTAAGCAGCAGCGCATTCCAGAGAGCGTTGCTGCGGCACGGGAGCGCGCGGTGGCGGAGCAACGCGAAATGCAGCAGCGGCACCAGCGCATGGAGCAGGCGCAGCAGAAGCAGCTGCAGAAGCAGCAGCAGCGGCAGCAGCAGCAGCAGCAGCAGCAGCAGCAGCAGAAGCAGAACGCGGCCGGCGGTGGCGGCGGCGCCGCCGCGGGCGGCGACGGGACGGCGAGCAGGTTGCTGCACAGGATGCCGGACCCCGCCGCCGACGAGGACCTGCTGCACGTTGGTGGGTGGTGGGCGCACTGCTGCCCCAAGTGCCATCGCATGCATGAGTGGGTGTGCATGTGGGTGTGCACGTGTGTGGGGGAGGGGAGTTTGGTGAGTGTGAGTGTTACAAAACGTGCCGCATGAGGGCGCAAGCGTGCACTGGCGCCGTGTCCAGGGCTGTTTTGCCTGCCGCCGCGGCGCGCCAGCCGCAGCGAAGCGCGCGGGCGACGCCCTCGCCCGGCTGTCAGTGCGGGAGCGGCTGCCTTCGTGCACGTCGCGGCCCATGCCTGAGACAGCCGTTAGGGCGCCGCCCGCCCTTGAGACGAAGCCCTTGCCGCCCCACAACTGCCCTCTCGTCCCAGGCCGGCTGCGGCTGCCCGTCAAGTGCGCCAAGAACACCACCATCGCCGCGCTGCAGCAGCGCGTGACGCGCTTCGGGTGCGCCCGCATGCGCCGCGCGCGCGCGCGCAGCCAGCCGCGCCCACCGGGCCCATGCGCGTGGAGACGGACCTGTGCTCCGCGGGGGCGCTCGGCACGACGCGGGCGTGGCCCTGTTTGGCCTTGGTGCAATGCGCGGCCCTCCCGACGGGCGGCCGTCGGCGCCTCCCCGCACTCACGCAGGCCCCTCCCCGCACACCGCCGCCCCCCCTCCCAAAACAGCTACTACTACGACCACATGCGCCCGCCCACCGTGGAGCATTACGGCGACAGGCTCTGCATGGACAACATACTGAACACCAAGTATGACGCCGGCAAGGTGTGACGTCAGCAGATGATGTCAGCGGCCCTGCCGCGCGCCCGGCCGCCTCGCGCCCCACCCCGCACGCTCCCCGCGCCGCGTTTCGCCCCGATTTCTTGCGTATGGGCTCTCGTGGGTTGACTCGGCGGGATCGCAGACATTCACACACACACACACACACACACACACACACACACACACACACACACACACGCATGCACACACATACACACACACATGCGCAAGGGCACACACGCAC